TTCTAATTGAAATCGGATTACTTTACAGCATAATCGAAATTATTAATCGATTGGTAATCCTGGATTTGCTACAGAACTATCCGATTTTAATCAGATAATTCCACACTGAATAAGTAACAATATCAAGTAATAGTTAAGTCGTGATCAACAATAATCAAAATTATCAATCGATTATAATTTTGATTTTGTTGCAGAAAAATCCGCTTGAAAATCGCGAAAATTTTTCACTGGGCTTTTGCTTTAAAAAAATTGACTTTATCCTTAGACAATAATTCAGATAAAAAAAGTATGATTTGTCTCATACAAAAACCTACTTGAGTTTTTGAACAGCTGACTTGAGATTCGGGTTCTCCGACCCCGATTTACTTTCGTCCACCTTTATAAAATATCGTTGTTTTCTCAAAAAATCCTTCCCTTGACCCTAAAAATTCATTTCAAAATTTTCAAAATCTGACTTCAGATTCGGATTCCTCGACCTCGACTTACTTTCGTCAACCTTTATAAAATATCGTTATTTTCTCAAAAAACCCTTTTCTTGACCCTAAAAACCCGATTCAAAATTTCTAGAAACTGACTTCAGATTCGGATTCTCCGACCCCGATTTACTTTCGTCAACCTTTATAAAATATCGTTGTTTTCTCAAAAAATCCTTCCCTTGACCCTAAAAATTCATTTCAAAATTTTCAAAATCTGACCTCAGATTCGGATTCCTCGACCTCGACTTACTTTCGTCAACCTTTATAAAATATCGTTATTTTCTCAAAAAACCCTTCCCTTGACCCTAAAAATTCATTTCAAAATTTTCAAAATCTGACTTCAGATTCGGATTCATCGATCCCGATTTACTTTCGTCAACCTTTATGGAAGAGAACTTAAAATAGATGTTTTTTTAACCCCGATGTTCTTTTGACCTTGTGACAAGCAACAAGCAAACTATTTTTTTTTCATATGACCCTCCTTTCAGTCGAGGGAATAATATGTGTCATGGGCAAAGAGGACCGTTGAACTCGGTTTTAACAGAACTGACGATGTGAGACAGGGTACCATTGCTTATGAAACCTGTATATTTTACCTATCCTAGGCAATGGTAGAAAGAAAGATAAAATGCAGTCGTGATACAACGCATATTTTTTTAACCATCGATTAGGTTTTTCTCTTCATCATTTAAGTCGTCTACTCGATAAGTGAGAGAATGAGCAAAAAAACGATAATATTTTACGACCATGCTGTATCTTACGTATGCGGTTGAATGCACGCCAGCCAAACATTTTTTTAATACGCACCTTAGCAAAATTATATTTGCATTTTTCCTATCAAACAAAGTCCATACTTTAACAACGTATTTTACGCATCATTACAATATTTTTTGCATCAGCACAAGAAAATTAAGTAAGCTGTTTGAAATTGTAGTGTATCTCTTAAGCTCTTTTACTCCAATAATAGTCAGAAGATGTATCTATTCTTGGAGAGCATTCCCTTTACATTCAAAGTAAATCCATGCATAGGAGCCTGTTACATGAAAAGTCTTTATCCAAAGGTTCATTTTCTTCTTGAAGTTAACAAGACATGTCCATGCTGTGCACTAGAATATAAGTAATAGAGTTTAATGAAGGATATTCTAAGAACACTAATAAGAATTCAACGATAAATTTTTCATTCTTTACAAATAAGATATTTGAAATATTAAGAGTAAGAAACTTGATTTTCTTATAAGATAATCGAGAGAGAGTTTGTATGGGCATCTTTATGTTTTCGGATACTATTTGGGCATCGGTGTAAAATGTGAATGTAGGTTGTGACGACAACATCGTGCACTACAAGTGTCTGAACAGTTCATATTCCACAAATAAATCAACCACAAAATACGAGTAATTCTTCTTTTCACAATATTCGAATCAAATACTAAAAAAATGACATCGTCTCTTTAATAAAACTAATATGATGATGTGATGCTCTATATTTTTTATCGTCATCTATTTAGCCATTGTCGTCTATAGAAGGGCCAGGCATACACCACTTTCATTTTATTTTTATTAGACCAAGAACACTACGACAGAAACAGTATTCTTTAAGTTATCCCATCCAAATCGCGGAGAAAGCATGAATTTTCATGTACGATTTCTTCTGTATAATGCAGCCTGGTCAAAATTGATGGCTGTTACTTCCATATCTTATGAAAACGTAATATTTCATTACCATGGTTATATTATAATTCTTGTTATTCAGTTTGAAAAACTATTTTCCCCTGTGGTTTATCCGTTAGCGCCATGATTGACTTTTCTTCGTGTATGCCATACCAGGCTTTTAGACAAGCAAAGAGTGTATTACTATCATTTTATGTTGGATACGATAGATTGTTTCGTTTTGCTGTTTAAATAACACAAAATGCAAACTGTAGATGAGAAGCCCACTATCGATTTTCATTAGTGGAAACTTTCTCAAAGTTATAACCTTCTGAATTTTTGAACTTTTTTATGTTGCACATTCTTTGATGGCGCTTACTGATCGGACAATAGACGAAGTGGTAAGTTGGTTGCAAGAAAATGGTTTTGAAAAATATGTGAAGAACTTCTATGGTAAGTGTCTGAAGAGTCAAAAAGAATGGAATCTCAACTCAAAACATTTCAGCGAATCTGGATGATATATATAGAATAGTTTCAACCATACTGAGGTTCATTTACGTCTAATAATATAAAGCTATTAGCTATAAGCCAGTTTGCTTTCATGATATTTTGATCTACTGCAACCAAATACAACTTTTCTCATTAAGTTGCATTGAATGTTTTGAAGGCGAAAATTTCTAAATGTTTATACCTTCAAGTAAAACAAAATAAGCCAAGAAGAACGTAACAAGTGTTAATATAGATCTCAAAAAGCTTGAAAGGATTGTAGAATTCGATAAATCCGTTGAGCTATGAAATCATCATCTTTCTGTTCATCAATACGGTTTGTATTGACTATTTGATAAAAATATTACTTGTATTACTTTTTTATTTAAGATGAAGAAATCGATGGTAGCACTCTACTAGAATTGACGAGTGACGAAATTACAAAATTATTATCTGAAGTGAATAACGATGGAACAATAAAAGTACCAACGATTGGAACAAGACATAGGTTTCAAAGAATGCTCAAAGAATACAGGGAACAAAGAAAAAAAAAAAGTAATACTCGTCAGCATGACTGGCTTCACCCGCGACTGAAGCATTATCTGAAATCTAGTTTCGTTGAGTGTAAGTGTAGCTATGAAAGTCTTGTTTACTCTAATACTGGCCCCCACCACGACAACCAGACCCGCACGCATAGCCCCAGCGATACTCACAACTATTCAACAAAAATTAAAATAACTACATTATGTCACCGATATCTATATGCATCGAGAAAAATAGTCAATATTCAGCTTTCTCAGATATAATGATTCAAAACACATTCACAACAATCTTCTAAAAACGTGCCATCATCTTTCAAATTTCTACTAAAAACTCATTCCCTTACTAATGCATTAGCTACCAGTATTGTTTAATAGAGTGTCTGCTAAAAACGAACGGGTTCAGCTGAATTTTTAGCTTAAAATCAATAATATAAGGTGTGATTTGTAATCCAACTACCATACTTGAAAGAAGCTTTATTTAAAGTAGCGGTTATACTGAATAGATATTTTGTACATATCCATATACATATTAACATTTGAATCAGTATTTATAAGGAAAAAATTCCAGTAGAAGTCCCTGTTTATTTCATTCAAGTCTCATTTCAATAAAATGAATATAAAGTTTTCAAGTGATTTTTTCCGTCAAATGCACTAAACATATACTGTGCATGTGGATGAAAGGCGTTATTGCAGTTGATCTTACAGCACTTCTCAGTTCTGACAACCACTATCCCTTAATCAAATCCATTTGAACTAGACTATTGATGTTCATTGGATAAGTTTCAACCATCTGAAGCCTTTCTTCAAGGAACTTTCTAGTGCAGCGGCTACGTATTCGTCGGTACTCCTTTGAAGCGCCATTCATGACTAGCCACTATTATGTTTTCTTATATTTCACTACAACACGATGCTTCTTTATTTACATTTCTGCTAACCTCGAACTCCGCTGACTTCGATAAATCACAAAATATCATAATCAATTTTTTCAGAAACCACGTAACAAAAGAAGCTGTGAACAATATAAGAAAATTCAGAATAGGCTTTGAAGATTCTACTAGAAATTTGTATAGATTTCAGAACATTCATTGATAATGCTGTTTGCTCTAAATTTCTCTAGGAAGGCAGAAGCTCAATGAATCCCAAGCTAAAACTAAATTATATTATCGTCTGATGAATTATTTAGCTATTGTGTCCAGATATAAAAACTGTTTTCTAATTCTTGATTTGACAGTTTTTTCATCTATTTGTGTCTGACATTCCTTACTCAAACCTATTAGACCCCTACCGTTGGTGTTTATTAAATAAATCTTGAGACTTCGAAGCGACACTTTATCCAGTCTTTTGTCCTAAAAGGAGTAAAGACGGATGATGTTTATTTTCTTGCTTGTCAAACATTCTTAGCTTCACTTAAATACCTTGAGATAAGTACAAGTTAAGATCGTGAAACGAATTCTTTGTTGTTTTGTGAAATTATCAATCACTGTGTAGTAACTTTACTCCATGTTTTCCATAATCGCTTCTTTATTTTCTTTCTTCTTTTCTCACCTCGATTTATTTCTTCCTGTAATGTGAGTATGCTCTCCAGTTATATTCCATCGAATCTCAAAACAATTCTTGTGCTCACTGTAAATTTCTTTTATTCTTTCCAATCTATATGCTAGTATGAGTAGGTACCATTGCTGATATTCATAATATCGATGTTAATCCAAAATGGATACAAGAAGGCATCACCGTGGCTGGAGGTAATGGATTCGGCAATGCGTTGAATCAACTATGGGATCCAAACGGTCTGTGTATTGATGACAATAATCAAGTTATTTATACTGCCGACAGTGACAACCATCGTATTATGGAATGGAAGTTTGATGCAACCAGTGGTACAGTCGTTGCGGGTGGGAATAAACGAGGAAATCAACGTAATCAATTGAGCTTTCCAAGAAATGTAATTATTGATCAACAAAGTGATAGTCTAATTATATGTGATTGGGGAAACAAACGAGTGGTAAGATGGCCTTGTCGATGTGGTACACACGGAGAAACGATAATTTCAAACATTGAATCTTGTGGTGGTTTGGCTATAGACAATAATGGATCTATCTACATCTCTGATTTTAACAAAGGTGAAGTCCGACGATATGAAATAGGAGAGACTTATGGCACAGTAGTTGCAGGTGGTAACGGAGAAGGCAATCAGCTCAATCAACTCAACGGTCCTACCTACATATTTGTTGATCAGAATCATGCAGTCTATGTATCGGACAAGGATAATCATCGTATAATGAAATGGGACAAAGGGGCAACTGAAGGTGCTCTTGTCGCTGGTGGCCATGGTAAAGGTGATGATCTTACACAATTAAAATATCCTTATGGAGTAATTGTTGATCGTTTGGATACTCTCTACGTAGCTGATTCCTGGAATAATCGAATAATGCGTTGGCCTAAAGGTTCTACACGAGGTGAAATCATTGTTGGTGGCAATGGTATTGGAGAACAAGCAAACCAACTGAATTATCCTATCAGCTTATCATTTGATCGACAAAGCAATATGTATGTTGTCGACCAAGGCAATCATCGTACACAAAAATTCCAGATCGATATGTCAAGATCATCTTGATGAATTAGTAGCCTTTTCTATTGAAACTGGATTCAAAAGTGAAAAGAACCATCATTACTTCTGTTATATTGTTAACAGTCAGAGAAACAACGATAAATACCTTCGTTACAATACAGTGATGATTTTTTCATATTTAAATAAACAAAGATAAAGCTTCCAGATTTTAAGGCCATTTATAGACCCCAACCGCTCTATATATGAGGCGTGAGTGAGAAACGCAAACATCCACTTCCACACCCACTCTCCACACCCTTTTCCGCTTATCATGATGAAACTTTTTCTTCAATGCAAAAATACAATTGACGTGAAAAAGAATATATTATAAATAGAACACTTGTTTTTATTTGTATACAAATTTAGATGGCACCACAGAAACTTGACTTTGACTTATCTATGCGATTGTCAACACAATTAATACCACTAGATCGTCTTGTGTATATTGCTGATACATAAATATTATAAAGAACTTTCATATCTAGTGAATGTACTTTATTGAATAGCTTTCTCTAAAGCTAAATAACATACACTTATTTCATTAGAATTAGTTAAATAAATTTCTTTTTGAAAAGTGACATCACAAGCTGCAATATGTGCCGATATAGGGGTGTGGGTAGGTGTGGGTGTGGGTGTGAGGTGTGGGTGTGGGTGGGTGTGGGTGTGGATGTGGGTGTGGGTGGATATGGATATGGGTGTGTGTCTCTAACAATACCTACAGCCAGACCTCACACCCCACACCCCACACCCACACCCACACCCACACTCACACCCACACCCACACACGCACCCCCACACCCACACCCATACCCCACACTCACACCCACACCCACACCCTTTTAATACGGCACATATGTTGCTTTTACGATTAACCTTGAAGTATTGACACGTGTCCAGGTCAACGATGGAAAAAAGAACATGTTTTTTTTTTCTTCCTACCATTTCATTCATGTTGTGTAATATCCTGGTTTTTACGAAGTTGTTTTAATGGCGACCTCATGAAACTATAAAAAAAGGTGAATGAGAAAGAAAAAACTTCAGTCATATTGAAGAAAACATAGTGTCTCGTTAAACAAAATGATCCAAATTTATCTTATATTCCTTTTTTTAATCAAATGGCTTCTTCAGTAATAGTTCCTTCTGTTTCTCTTCCTACTTCTTCCACAGCGAATCACGTGATCATCTGGTTAGACCAACATATTGGTTTAATAAAATCGAACAATCAATTGAAAAGTGCCGTCGGAGGACAAACCGATCCACATAATGTTACTCCTACGTCACCAAATGAACGTGATATTGGTAATTTAATTCGATTTCAAGAACTGTTGGATACGAACTTCTTTGGTATTCCAGAAAACTTAAAAGCATTTTATGAAATTGATTCATGTTTAGAATGTATTGGAGAGAATTTAGCGAATAGAAAACAAATATTTTTCGTCACTTCTGGTACGATGGGAGAAAAGATTCTTCCAAAAATCGCCGAATTATATCCGTCATTAAAACAAATTTATCTCTTCTGTGGTTACTATCGTGCACATGTTGGCTGGGCTTATGATTATTTAGATCAAGGATTCGATATTATTATGATCGATTTTCATACGGATCTTGTTATGCGTCTATCAAGAGATGTTGCCGAATACTTCATATCGGAAGGCAATGGCCTAATGCAGGGTAATTCGCCTGTCGCTGATTCAGCAGTGGTTTACTTTCGCTGGGCAAAATTACTTTTAGATCGAGCAAATAATATTGCTATGGTAAAAGTATTTGATCGTCTTCGGTATGCAGAAAATCGGATGGAAGTAGCTGAAGAATTAATCTCGCAACTCAGTGGCGATGACAACGACAAAGTATCTCATGAACAATTTCCTTAAATCATTTGAATATTCGTCAATATAGTGATGTCATTTCTCATTTATAAGAATAAAATCACTTCATGCCGTTGTTCATACTTTGATTAATATTTTCACGTTTCTAAAGAATGACAGTAAGAGACGATTGTTCATCAATCCGTAACTTTTTCAATCTAAAATTCATCTTTAGTTTTACCTATCTATCATTTACTTGGCACATGCACTTGGATATTGCGTTATCGTATTTAAACTTCATGCTTTTCCAAACAGTAACACTTCTGAAGCAAAATAATAGGTACTAGCTTCCATCTCAAGGTAAGAAAAAGATCTAATGTGTTAATCTTCAATGTGGAACTAAGAAACAAATCTACTTCAGCTTTTCTAAGTAATTATTTAGTTAAATGATTCCATATTGATAAATGATGTACCTAGCAAGAATCAGAGATGTACAGAATCCTACTTAAAGAAGCATAATCTAATAAACTATGAGTATATGTATTAAAAATAATCATTCTAATAATTAACTGTTTTCCTTTAAATTGGAATTGGAATAGATAATTAAAGGTATATTTTAATAAATGTAGAGCATGTACTATGCAAAAAGTTCTTGGATAATATATGTAGAGAACTTCTTAAACCATGACTTGGCTAAAAGAACAATATTAAATTCTTGATCTCTTGTTAAAACTCAGCGATTGTGTGATTGTGTAAAAAAAACAACAGAACTTATTCTTCTTTTGTATAAAAGTGAAATATTTCTCGTTTATAAATATCAATTAGAATTTCGACTATTGAATAAAGATTATTAATTGATCGATTATTTGAATACATGATTTATGACATGATATGAGAAAAAATTTCAAAACTCTTATTTAAATATAATCTTGGTTAATATTGATATTTGCATAAGTAAAAATGTTGTTGTCACTGATATATATCGAGCATCTTATGTCGTTATGTGAATGTTTAATGTAGGTATAACAGAGTATTTGATTGCCAAAGTAAAAGCTTCGATTATATGTATGATTCAGACACTAATTTTTTTTAATTTTTTTTTGATAGTCGAAGTAAAAGAAATTTAAATCAATCATTAATCACGTGATATGTTGCTTATTTCGAGCAAAATAGACTTAATATATCTAAAAAGATTTTGTCGAGAAAGTAAGAAGGTAGAAAAGAAAGAAAAATTCTAACATGTATCATTTTTGTTTGTTCATACTGTTGAGTTAAACAATAAACTATATATTGTAAATTTAATAATTTATTCGATCGTTAAAGACGAAGATACAGCTTGATTATTAGTGATTCTTTTATCATCATTCTGAGAGCTAAAGAGCTCATATTTATTGCTTTTTATGGAATATTGAAGTTGAATATCTACTTGTTTTAGATTTGATGAGATATATATTTGAAGTCGTAAAATAAATCTTTTTTTTAATGATTCTTGTTTTAGATTATCATTATAGTCCACTCAAGAGTTTTACTTAGAAATAAATGACAACAAATGATTTATAAAAAGGATCCAAGTAAAATTCTCAGTTTTGTTCATCTGTATCGACCTTTTGGATCAATATCATCAAGCTTGGATATGCGAAAAAAAACTTTCTACAAAGAGTTTACTTGTTCGAATACACTGGTTGTTTGTTAATAAACGAATATTGCGAGTTCAACACTTGCTGCAGCATATGTTTCTCTAATATGTTAAATAACAGAAGTCATGGAGAAGTAATGTTGCAATGAACAAAACGTATAGTATTCAACAGTTGGAGTCCTGGCGAGATATACATACAAGTTCTACATCTCGACGTCGAATATCAATGATTTCAAAAAAACATATCGATGTTATTATTGAAAAAAACACATAATTACCTTATTTTTTGATTATTTGAAAAAGTATTTCATGTGTTCTGTCTGAATAATATACATCATTAAGTACAGATTATACAGATGAATAACTACTAGAAGAGTGTCAATTATAAAAATCAACATTGTTTAACTTTAGGAGATTTTCCTGAACTGACTCGATAAATGCGTCACAATCAAAACAGTCTAAAAGAAAACTTATTATTTCAAATCTCATGGTTTTCGACATGATATAGAACTCTTCACTGTCTAATAAAAATGAACTACTATTATTACCTTAATTTAAACATACAATATCTTTCAAAATATAAATTAACACTATGTTTAAACTTATGATTAAAATGCCATCTCATTATCATTCATTGTTCTTGACTTTTAAGGTAGTTATTCTTAATCATGTCTCATTCAGAAATTGCACTATTTAAAGATTAGTCATAAACATAGTTTGATGTCATCTGTTTCGCTTAATTCTTTTGTTTTATTATTCAAACTAATTCATGGTGTATCATTGAAATTTCACAAGTATTCTTTCTACCCACATCCACAGCCTCACCCATACAAAACAAATTATATTATATCGAGTTAACGCATCAAAAATAAAACAGTAATCATTCTCAATTTTGTTATTTTTTATTTACAAATTTTAAAAGATGTGAAATTGTTTTGGATTTCAATGTATGCATTGTGAATTTCAGAAATTATTTGAGATAAGAACAAATCTATCTGATTGAAGAAAATAATATACAGTCGAAATAGATATTTCTATCTAATAGAGTCATTTTATTTTTATAGTATTAAATCATTTCCTAAATAATAAAGTGATATATTTAAATATATGGCTTCAACCACAATGCTATCAACTATTTTTTCTATTTCGAATGTTAATATTTATGTATTCACAATTATTTAAAGAAATAGAAAATGGGTGAGTATAGATGTAACTAGGAGAAGTTCTATATCCAAATCAACATCCTCGATAGATTTTGTTAATCTATACGAAAATCTAAATCATAGAAAATGATTATGCATGTCTCTCTGATTAGACAATATCATTTTCATTTTCTGTACAAAAATTACATAAAGATAATTATGATAGATATAAAATGTCTTTCAAATGTTTTATTAACTCTAGTAGATATGTTTTAGTAAATAACAATTGTTGCCATTAAGCTTTTAACTCGTTTGAGTCTGGTAGAATTTCATAATATTATCTGAATGATCTGCATATAGATTAATGAGGAATCCAGATTCATACTCTGTATGTTTTCTCTAATATATGAATAGATTACAAAAGCATTTGCATAAATGAATGTTTGAATGTATGCATATGTTTTCAATAAAAGTGTGCGTCTAGAGAGTAAAAAAACTATTTTGACTAGGAGAATAGACGGAGTATTTTCTCCTCACTAAACCACATATCTTTTCGATAGCATTTACAAGATTATCATTTTCGAAAATTTTGAATCTGTTTAGATTGAGAGAGTGTTAATTAGTCGAATATTTAACATAATCACAGTTCTTCTTCAATTTCATGAAAAATTCAATTTGTACATATGTGAGAGTGAAGCTGGCGTGCGAGCAATAGTTTAAGAATAGGTCATGAAAAATATTCATTACGCTATGAAAAATTATTTTTTATCATCTCGACTCATTCTATATTGTAACTAATTTTTGTAACACTTAAATATCGCTGTGACCAATTTTTATAGATTGAAACAACTTTTAAAAATGACAAAGAGGGTATCATTTCATACAGAGATATTTTAAAATTTTCTTTGAGTAATTTAGATCAAATTTTCGTTTACCATTGAAAGATTCACTTACACTTCCTATGAAAATTTCTTTACGCATATCATTACCAAAATTTTTTCATGGAAAATTTCAATACAACACACATATTTATTATTATTATTGACATTCATTTTAGAGAATCAAATATTTTGTTTAAATATAGTTTTATCTGAAAGAAGGCAAAGATACTTCCTAATGAACATAATTAACGTACTGCAAGAATGATCAAAGTTTTCTAATAAAAAAGTAACTGAAATTATATTTATTTGTTAAGTTTAATTATACATTTAAAGTCATTTTAGATGAAATCTCTGATCTCTACATTTTCTCGCCCTTTTATTTACATGCATTTTATTAATTTTACGAGAGAAAAACAAAATAAATATCTATATTTGATAAATACTCGATAAATAAATTATTTCTCTTTAGAAAATCATCGGGTGCAGTTATAACTTAGAGAATGCATCTATTCTTAACAAGAAATTGTTGTTCAATATTTTCTGTTTTTTTTTATGAAACTCCTCAATATTAAAATAGACGATATTCCAATGATAGTTTGAGGGAAGATCTGTATAAGAATAAAATACACAATTGCTCTTTTGACCAAATTCTAATCATTTCTAAATTAAAAACAAATCATCGAAAGATCCTCAACAGTATTATTACTTTAACATCACTAATAACAATATAAAGACTTTTCTCTAAATGAATTTTTATTTTCAGATTTAATAAATTCGTAAATATTTATCTCATCTGTAAAAATTGAGTGAAGCTATGCCATATAGAATTAATGGGATCAAAGAAAATTGATCTCCAAACACTCGAATACTTTGTTTTAAACATATGTAGAGCAAAACCATAGAACAGATATGTCTGATCTATTAATTAGATTTACCATAAATTATACATTTTTGTAAATCTTCTTCATTCTTTCTTTCTAGAAAGATATATTCTTATCAATGTATTACTAAACAATAGACTTGATAACAGAATCATTTATCTAAGAATAGTTATTTGGCTGATTTTCTAATATAATTTATTTGATTTACATGCATCAAATTGAATAGAGGATCACCAATAGGCA